GGTGCCTGGCTTCGCTCAGTCGTTGATGCCGACACCTTGGGCTGGTTTGTTGTGCTGGGCTCCTTATGTTTCCTGAGCAGAGATAAGCGTGGTGTCAGCTCCCCAAAAAAAACTCTGGGCAACCTGGAGGGGGGACGCCGGGCGGATCTTTGCACCCAGGCACCACATATGCTTAAGACGGCCCTGAGAATTAATGTGTGCAGTCTATGAGACTGGCTTTTATTATGTACTGACTCCCAAACCACCCTCCTAGTGACAAGAAATCAGTAGAATATGCACACTATGCTGCATCTGATTTACACGGCATCTCCACGGGAGCAACCTAATCAGGGAAGGTTGCTTCTTAAGGAAATGACAGAGTATCACTTCGGTCCTCTGTGTATTCTCATGCAACTTCAAAGAAAACAACTAAGCTGGCTTTGGGTACAGTGAGCTGCTCCCTCCTGAGGCAGTGACGAAGAACATCCTAACTGTTTGAAACAAGGCAGCTGCCAGCCACGCTCCAAGAAGCAATAAGCATTGCACTGTATCCACGACTTAGTTTAATGTTCTAGGTCACAGCCTGCTTTCACAGGCAAGGTTGTGTGTTTGAAGATCTAATTATACTCTCTTTCTCTTGGAATATTTGCTCTAACCTGATAACAGAACTCTAATTTGTTTCTAAAAGCTAGAGATGGCTGTTCCAGCTAATTCATATTTGAGAAAGATCATGAAATGGTTTTGTTGTGGTGGTGGTTTTTAAAAAATGGGTACCCTTTTGAGGAGATCTGTGGTGTTGTCTTCTCGTTGGAGGCTGGTGGGTGTGATGTGACTTGAGTGACAGTGTGGAGAACTGAACCAGAGGCAAGAATGAGGCTAAACCTTTGGGTCTACATTGTCTTATCTAAGTTTATCTCAATCTACATTTGCCCTCACCAACCTGGCTCCCCTGTGATGTTTTGTTCTACAATTACCATCAGCTCCAGCCAACAGTGGAGCTCTCCACATTAACAAGAGACCTCTGGATCAGAAGGACGTGATGTTTATTTCAGAGATCAGATGTGCTTTTGCATTAAATCCATATTATAGGGATCTGGTTCACTCCTGTTCTTTGTCATCCAGTTGTTGATAGTTTTACTTCCTGGATTTTCAAAACAATTTGAAAATTGTTGCATCATAGCAACACAGAATGCAAAACTTGTCATAGAATCAAAGAATTGTAGAGCTGGAAGGAACCACAATGATGACCTAGTCCAGCTTTCTACAATGCAGGAATCATTCACCCAATGTGGGGCTTGAACCCACAACCCTGATGTTAAGAGCCTCATGCTGATTACTGAATACTTTACACATGGCTGCTAGACTTTACAAACTTTAAGCAGGGCATTTTGACAGCCTACATGAAAGGCAGTCTGCTTCCCCACTCCTCTCCATTCCATGTACAGAAGCCAAATGAATTGGAAATTAAATATTGCATCAATACTACCAGTGGGATAGAGTCCCTTGCCACACCTGAGGGCAGCAGGGTGGTTACGGGGAATGCATAGGAAACATCCCTCTGTCTACCCAACTGAAGGGCATGACTAGGAGACTCAAGAAGCATAGCTGGGGGGCTCCAATCACTGTCCACACCGAGCAGCTTTCACCTGTGGCTGTCGCCTCACTCTGCCTATGGGTAGAGCCTCCCTGCTTACACACATCACATACCTCCTGGTTCTTCTTTCTTGCCTTAAAATTCTATCCACTCCTTCAAGAACAGAAATAACAAAGTCAATGACAAGAACAATTCAACAGCGACCTGTGCTTTTGAGGACAACATTGGAATCACATCCCAGAGTGGCTATACAGCACCCCTCCAAAATCAAAGGTCACTGTTGAAAACCTTGCTCCTCGGCTCCCCTGCCCGCTAACAAGGATACAACAGAGGATATTTCTAATCTAGACAGGCAACTCAATTAAAATCCTCTTCCCTTGATAAATGTACATGTGATTAGGACTCGTTGGGAAAGCCGTCCTTCAGGCTGCACTAAAAGAGACGTTGTCTGGATATTGATGGGGAGGACATACAGCATAGCTAATGAATGTCTTGTCACTTCTCCTTTGGGAAGAGATCTGAAAGAGGGCTAAAAAGCAGGGAGGGAAGGGGAGTGGAGAATCAGGCTTGCAGAGCTGGGAGTTGGAAGCAACCTCAAAGTTAGTGGGCTATCTAGCCTCTGTTCAAAACCTGCTAATGAGAGAGAGTCCACCAATCTTCCAAGGCAGTCTGCTCCATTGTGAAGCAGCTCACTCCCTCAGGAAGTTCCTTCTAGAGTTGAGCTCAAATTATCTCACAATTTGAACCCGTTGCCTTGGGTTCTACCCTCTAGTGCAGTGGTTCTCAACCTTGGGTCCCCAGATATTTTTGGCCTACAACTCCCATGATCCCTAGCTCACAGGACCAGTGGTCAGGGATGATGGGAGTTGTAGGCAAAAAACAACTGGGGACCCAAGGTTGAGAAAGGCTGCTCTAGAGCAATAGAAAACAAATTTGCTTCACCACCCTTGAAGATTAAATGGAATTCAAGGCATACCACCTGATTTGGTTTTTGGTTTTGTTTTTGTTTTCTGATCTCATACAATGGCTCCTCCTGTGGCTTTCTTATTTGGTCAAAGTGGGATGGTGCAAAACAAGCTGAATCACCACCTGACACCCTCAGGACTTGCTGTGGGCTGGACTCCTGACCTCATGACATCATTTTCAAAAGTTCTGCAGACAGAGCATTTTGAAACTAGTGGCCTTTATGCTTTCTAAAAAGACATAATCTTTTTAAATACGAAAAACCACCCACCTTGTTTTCATTTCCTCCCATACCTGTTAGGAGGCAATCAATGTCTGTCAGCTGAAGTTGTCATCTTTCAGAGAGACAAACAGTGCAGCGCAGCCAGGCATTCTTACACGGCTTGACCTCATTCGTCACATGCCTTATTATGGCAGACCAATGGTCCTACTTGCTAGCTGATGAATACAAATCAGTTTATATCATGATAACATTCTCCTTGGGAAATCTTTGAGAGGCTGAGGGATGTCCAAAGCCCATAACCTGATTGTTCTCTGCATAATAGTACCACTCCTTTTCTGCAGCTGCTATATATTTACAGGTAGCTAAGGCTATATCTTCCTAGGCAGCATTTCATTGAGCAGCCAAGTAAAATATTCTGGCACAGGTCTTTGAGTAAATGGAAGTATCAGCCAAATGTGCAAGCAGGAGGTCAAGAACTAGCAACCCCTGGCCAAAAGGAAGCTCTTTTCCACACAGTGTATAAATTGTGGAATGTGTTCCCGCAAGATGTGGTGACGGCCACCAACCTGGATAGCATTAAAAGAGGGTTAGGCAAATTCATGGCAGATAAATTTATCACTGACTGCTACCCACGATGGCTATGTTGCACCCTCACTGTTGGCAGGGCAAACTTTGGTAATATGGCACCCCGATAAGGGCAAAATTTTGTACCCCCTCCAATATTTCTTATTTTCATGCCCTCTCCCCTCTTGCCTTCTGTTCTGTGCTCCCTCGGCTCAGTGCCCTGTGCGGCAGAACCACCTGCACTGCCCTCGATCTGGTGTTGCTGTCAGAGACAGTGTGCCTCTTAACACCAGTTGCCATTCAACACAAGTAGGAAGAGTGCTGTTGCACTGATGTCCTGCTTGCTTGCTCCCCACAGGCTGGTCACTGTGAAAACAGAGGGTTGAAGTGATGGACCTTTGGCTTAATCCAGTGGTGTCCTCCTTGTGTTCAAATGCACTCCTGTCTCATTTGCCAATTGGAAAACTGTATCGTGAAAGGAATAGGAGTTGTGGCTGATATGTGCATGGGCTGGAAAGGAGTGGGGTCATCCATCCCCTTCCCAAAAGTGGCCTCCAGCTAATGTGATTGCTGTCCAGGTAATGTAGAGTTAGACACAGCTGCTATTCCCCAGGATTTCTGTAAATCCCTGCCAGTGATGGGCCATAGCTTAGTGGCAGAGCATTCGCCTTGTACATAGAAGGTTCCAGGTTCAGTCCCCAGCACCTCCAGGTATTTATGTGAAAATACTCCTGTCTGAAACACTGGACAGGTGCTGCCAGGCAGTGCAGTCAACACTGCTATGGTCTGATCTGGTGTAAGACATCTTCCGGTTCTCCAACATTTTGCTTATTTGATTAAGCAAAAGATGTAAAGAGACAAATATAACCAGTATAATAAAAGTGTGTGTGTGTAAAGAGAGAGGGGAAGAGCAAACCTCAGCATGTATAGGTTAGTAAATAAGTTAACTAGCCCTGCAGACAAGCGAGAAATCTGCATCACTGTGAGTCCTTGCAGCTGCATTTTTATTGGAACACTTTGTATTCCAGACACATCTCTGAATCTTTTGCCAACCAGAAAGACACAGCTTAAAAGCCTCTCCTTTAATGACATCTCATTTGGGGAGGGGGAGGGACTTCTTCAACAGAGATGGATTCGCCCATGCATAAGGTCCAATAAAGTGCTGTTGGGTTTGTTGGTTTGTTTGTTTTTTAAAAAAATAATAATAATTTCCCCATAACAAAATAATACAAAAGATGAACAGCAATGTTCTGTTAGCAAATACACGGCAACAAGCACACTCAAATATGTTGAATGCCAGCCAGTGCATTATGGGTTCACTTGAACATACAGAGAGGGCCATCGTGGGGTAGTGGTGGTGCATGAATGGAGCCCTGTGCTGTGAGAGGGGGAGCTGTGCACAGCCCTAGGCAACCACAGCCAGCATTCTTGCTGCCTGGCCAGCCCTGACATCTCCTATCCAACCAGCATGACTCTTCATCTCCAGCCTTCTTGGAGAGTGAAAGGCCTTTGCTGGTGCCACTGCTACAAAAGGAAAAAGAATGAGATAAGGGCCCAGACAGAGGCAGCTGAGACAATGAGCAAGGCAGGGTGGTGGCGGCATCCTTGAGGTTTGCAAAGTACCATACATAAACACTAAGCAAAAGCCTCATTAAAATATTTATTTTATTTTATTTTATGATGGAAGGAATATTCGTTGCAATTTACGAAATGCAATTTTCATCCAACTATTACATTTTGTATCAGCATAAGCAGATTACTCTAATGCTCACAACCACTTAGAAACAGTTAATGGCTCGGGGATGAGGCTGATCAGTTCCTGCCTGACCCTCTATGCTATTACTGCTCAGGTATTCAATCCCAGGTTTGTCTGCAGATGGCATAAAACAGTGCTCTTCAACCTTGGCTCCCCATATGTTGTTGGGCTACAGATTCCATCATCCCCAACCAGCTGAACCAATGGTGAGGGATGGTGGGAGTTGTAGTATATATAATAACACTTTGGGACCAAGGTTGCAGAACAATGACATAAAACTATAGCCAAAATGCATGTAAAGGAAACAATCATTTTCTCTTTAATACTGTCATTGTCCCAAATCCCTGCGTCATTCATGTGACCTGCAAATGTTCTGACAGACCTCAGCAGACACCATCACAGCCATCATAATCTACAAGAATCATCTGAAAATATAGGTAGCAGGAGGCTAGAAGAAGCAGCCTTGGGAGGTGGATACAAAAAATGAGGAGGAATAGGGGAAGGGAGCAAAAGAAACAGAAGGGATTGAGGAAAATGTACATCCACCAGCAGTACCCTTGGCAAATGGCACAATAAAGCTTTTCCCTGAAGAGCTGCTCTAGTGATTATAACTGGCAAAATATCAAATCTTTAAAACTTCTGAAGTTTTGATTCCCTTTTTATTACACTCTAGCCAGAAGCACTGTGGCTCTTTGCTTTTTTTCATATTCAGGAAGAAAGACTGAGGTTGTTTTGCACTGAATGTGTGAGCGGAGAATCACTAATTATTCACCCCAACTGACTTTTAAAAAACACCACATTTTCATTGTTCATTTAGAGCTGATGAAAGTATAAAAGCAAGACATTGGATACTAAAGAGGACCCAGTGAAATGGAATAGAGGTTGGAATAATCTAATTCTGTTCTTCACCTAATTCTGAGAGCCAGTGTGGTGTAGTGGTTAGAGCGCCGGACTAGGACCTAGGAGACCTGAGTTCAAATCCCCTCTCGGCTTTGTGCCAGTCACCAACTCTCAGCCTAGCCTACCTCACAAGGTTGTTGTGGGGATTATATAGAGAAGGGGAGAAACATGCATGACACCTTGAAGTCCTTGAAAAAAGGTGGGGTAAAAAAAAGTGATAAATAGATAAATAAACAATTCTGTTCCCACTGGGCCATCATGAAAAGGGGAGTGTGCTACACTGAAATAAATCTTTCCCAAGAATCAACAGTATCTCTTCCACACAAATACTAAATAAAAAGAACAATAGTAGCTAAGATATGTATGCATCCTCCCCCTGTCCTCCAGGTCTTGCTCATATATACAAAAAAAGATGTAAAGTGATATTGGCCACAATTTGGCAGCACAATTTGAATTATGGTCCAGCAATAGTAATGGAGAAGTTCTGTTTTTGTTCCTAATTTAATCAGATCCTACCTAAACTGCACTTTCCAAAACAAAAGGCAGCTATCATTCCAAATTCGCTTTTGTCTGAATTTTGCAATGCAGTTCTCCAACTCAAATATATATACAAATGTGTGCATAAAATGCATATTTAAATGAAAAATAGCACACAAAAATACAGTTTATTCCAGAATAATGACTCTCAGAACTGTGTATATTGGAAGAAATTACACTAAAATGGTGATGAATTTCCATGAGGACTTTTTAACTGCAAAAAGATGCAAACTGCTGTACAAATGAGATAGACCAAACTGAAGAGTTGGAAGTGGGGAGAGGAGAAATGGAGAGAACTGACAGATTTGTCTGTCCCGCCTGAACAATGGTGATTTGTGTAATATGGAGTGGGGAAGACTTAAAACTCATCTACATTCTGAATGTGCTCTGAAATGATTTTAAATTATAGAGAAACTTGATCTAAACTCTTTCCAGTTCACGTTTCCACAAGTTAGCTTGTGCATGAGGGGAGGAGTTTTGGAGCTAACCAAATATGATTCCATTTGCAAGATTAAGACCTCTGAGAAATATAATCGGAAGCAACCATTACTCAACAGGAAGCTTGAAAAGAGGCAAGGCAGAAAGGAGACCCGCGAGCAATAGTAGACATTAATTGGATACAGGATTTTCTGTGTGCTAGAGTGGCATCGGAAGAATGGCGCAATTGTCAACTACAATGCGGAGAAACATTTTATCATGGAGAAGAAAGGCGATCGCACATCTTGCCATAATCACACTGATGAGGCAGCATAGAGAGAAGCACATTCATTCCGAGGTGCCTCACACAAAGGTGTAGACAAAGACAGGGCATTTAAAAGAGAAGTGGGGGATAAGATAAATGGATGGCTGGATGATGGAGCCAAAGGGACATGGTGCACCATCTGCAATTACCAAATGTGGCAATATTAAGGAAGCAGGAGGATTTGCTTTTGCCTGGCTAAAAGGGCATACAAATGAGATGAAATTAAGATGGGGAAAATGTAGCTTGAGTGTCTACTTGCAGCTGTAGTAATAGCGAAGGTATTTTTCTCCAAGGGAAGGGAGGGGACTCCACTTCCCACAGACATTTAGAACCAGAGTTTATAAAGGAATGAATTGAGGGGGGAGAAATGTGCAAAGAGACTCATAGTCTAATCAGTGTCTCCCTGCCTTTTCGTCATTATGATCCTCATAGTGGATTTTACAGCACTTTCATAGAATCATAGAGTTGAGGGTTATCTAGTCAGACCCCCTGTAATTCAGGAATATCTATTTACTTGGTGCTCAAAAGCAGCTTAGTGGTTGTGCATCTTTTAAGCATGCAGAAACTCCCTGGTTCAGTCCCCAGGAAGAGAAGATGAATTCCCTGCCTCAGATCCTGGAGAGCCACTGGCAGTCAGTGTAAACAATACTGAGATATATGGACCGATGATCTGACTTGGTATAAATCAGTTGTGGAGTCTACTGTTTAGGACTTCTTCTTTTCTTCTTCTTCTTGAATATATTGTAAGGGAATTGGACACAGCAACCCTGTGCCCTTACAGACAGTGTTGGACTGCAGCTCCCATCATCTCTGACCAAGGCTGGCAGGGGTTGATGGGAACTGGAGTCCAACAACACCAGGAGAGACACAGTAGGCTCCTCGCCCCTGGTCTTGGATGAGAATTTGTGCCAAGTGGTGGCTCAGTTTTAAGGGTTCAGTATCTGACTTCAGTATGGGAAGATGAGCTATGCAGATTATTCTCTCTCTTCACACATACACACACACACACTTAAACACTTACACACTTACGTTATTATAGAAATAACATACTTCAACACACATACATATCATGAAACATTCTGTCATATTCTTAGGCCATGATCTTCAATCCAGCTCAGAGAAAGAGGAGGCAGTGCCTTTGAAACCATCACTTCCCAGTCCTAGACCATCCAGGCCAGAGGGTGTGTCCATACCCAACTCTTCCAGCACAGACAACACAACACACCAAAACTTTCCGTGTTGGTGGCACACTTTTTAGACATGCATCATTTTGCGACACAGTAATTCAGTTTTACTAGCAAACTGGAGATTGAACTAACCCTTTTCCAGCCTTGGGAGAAGCGTGGGGAGAGTGCATGTGACACACCCACACAATGCAGCTGACACGCTAACATGTTGCGACACAAGGTTTGGAAAGCTCTGCCTCACCTAGACAGCTTTCACCACCCCCATGCTGTAGGAGCCAGCAGGTGCAGAATAAGATATCCCTTGAAAGAACAAATAGCTCCTTAAAGGTGGTGGGAATAACAGGAAGTATCAGGTTGGCCTGGCTTTATAAAACCTCAGAAGGCCTCAGCACCCTGCTTGCAATGCCATTAAGGTTACATTGGGTGCAGGCTGCTGAGGCAACAGCACCGTCTGAGAGAGGCTTTGCAGGCCCTGAGTCACAAGGAGCTCTCTGGGACCTGGGCTCCTAGACTCTTATTTGGTCTACCCTGTTCAAGTCTTAACAGCTTTGCTTGAAATGTGAGTGCCCTGGACTCTCCCTGACACAAGCACTCGCACACACAGAGTGGCAGCCAAGGGATAGACAGAACCCTCTCTTAATGGGAGTTCTCAAAAGCCTAATACCACAGCCACAAAGAGAATAATTTCAGAAAGGAAAATGTCTTGTTATTGTGATGTAGATGGTCCATTGCTTTTGGTTTTAGGATGTTGCTGTAATCTGCTCTGCAATTTTTATTTTTATTTTAAAAAACAAGGAGTGGAATGTAAATGTTTAAAATAAACGATTTGTTTATTTATTGGTAAATCAAGCATGTGCCAACACTTATAATAAACAACTCAGATAAAGCACCAGTTTACTCCTTATCTAAAGCTTAGCTCATAACAACTTATTTCTTACCCAAAGAATCCTGAATTGTAACACCACAATAGCAACTCAGCAGCTCAGCAACAGAGCATCTGCTTGGCATGCACAAGGTCCTAGGCTCATTCCCTGGCATCTTCAAGTAAGGATGGGAGATACCCCTGCCTGAACCTTTGGAGAGCTGCTGCTAGAGTGCTGTGTTGGCTGGATGGACAAGTGCTCTGATCCCGTATAAGGCAGCTTCCTATGTTCCCAGCACACTACAAGATGGATGGCAGCATCTTCTTCCAAGTCTAGGACGTTATTTGTTGATTTATTTGAACCATTAATGTACCAGTTAACTACAATAGCCTCCACAAGTGGTTGCAAAGATACAATATACAAAATATAAAAAAACACTTTAAACTATAAAATCAACATCAATTTAAAACGCTTGTTGGAATAATAAAAGAAGCGTTCAGTAGGCGCTGGAAGTTCTGTATGGAGCAAGGTCTGTCTGACCCTCACCTGAAAGGGAATTCCATAGAACTGGGGCCATAATACTTAACAGAGTGCTGCTGGCATATACGAGTTATGCATCTGAGCCATGGGAGACCATAAACAACGACTCCCCAAAAGACCTGTGATTGAGCAGGGATATAAGGGATTAGGTGGTGCTAATAGTAACAGTATTACTATGACCTGATAGACTGCGGTAGGTGAGATTCACCATGGCTGCAAAGGCCCAGTTTCCTTGTGTTGCCAAGGTCTTTTCCCCAGTCCCCTTTGAGAAAAAAGTTCTTTTCTCTCAGCCAGAGCCTAGTTTGCCATCTGCCTCTCTCCCTTCCTCCCCACCCCTCACGTTCACCTCCTCTGCCTCTTATCTTTTATCCCATTTCCTGATTTAACACTAGAAAAGAAAGGAGTGTTAAGACAGACATTCAATGTGAGGAAATCAGTTCAGGATGGATTTATTTTAAAATAGATTTAACCTTACAGCTGGTTCAAGTTTAAAAATTCACTTTGACATATTTGCTCACAGTTGCTGACAAAAGGAAAAAAGGACGACTTTGTGCTTGGGTATTTCTGGAAGAAAGAGATGGGCACTTTTTGATTCTGTGACTCTTCCTCCCCCACCAAAGATGCTTGAAGGATTTGAGCAAAACCAAGCTCAAGTAGGGGATGGGAGGCAGGCAGAGCAGTGGTGGAGAACACACCTTCGCATGCAGAAGGTCACAGGTTCAATCTCCGTCATCTCCAGAGAAAGACCCTGCCTGAAACCATGGAGATCTGCTGCTAGTCAGTGTGGGCCATACTGAGCAGTGGCTTAGCATGGGGGAGGCAGAGGGGCAGTGGCGCTGGGTGCAAAATATCAAAAGGAAAATTGCTGGCACTTCCTAGCTTACTGCTGTCCTCTTCCATGCTGTGATTTCCAACTCCTCAGATTCAGAAAGTCCCCCTTTTAAAAGAAACAAGCCATTGCATGGACTCGCTACAAACAAAGAAAGAAGCAAGCAGAAAGTTTGTTTTGCTTTTCCAGCTGCTTCTGATTTTAGGGTTCTTATGGACCAAGTTTGGGTACTGTAAACATGGTCCATTTAAGCCCCACCTAGCAAAACTTCTAGTTCAGCATCCCATTCTCAGTAGACAATTGGATGCCTATGCAAAGCCCACAAGCAGGACCTGAGTGATCTCCCCACCTGTGATTCCCAGAGACTGGAATCCAGAGATATGCTGCCTTTAACACCGGAGGTAGAATAGAACCATGATGGCTAGTAGCTATTCATAGCCTTATCCTCTATGAATTTCTCAAATCCTCTTTTCAAATGACCAAATTGCTTTACTTTGTTTTAACTTTGGATTTTAGGTGACTTTGGTATCTGTCGGCTATTTCGTGTCACTCTTGAAATGTTCTTGTTCTCTTCTATAACTAACAAATAATAAACAAAACAGTCCTGTTCAGGCACTCAGAATATATAACAGTGGCCTCTGGTGCCCATTAGAAGTGGTAAGCTGGAAGGCAAGGGTACAGTGGAACCTCAGTTCTCGAACTGCTCTGTTCCTGAACGTTTTGACTCCCGAACGCCGAAAACCTGGAAGTAAGTGTTATGGTTTTCTAACGTTCCTCGGAACCCGAACATCTGACATGGCTTCCGATCTGCAAAAAGCCTATCTGTCAGCCAGTTGGAAGCTGTGCCTCAGAATTTGAATGTTTCGGAAGTCGAACGTCCTTCCGGAACGGATTACGTTCGACTTTCAAGGTTCCACCTGTAACAACATTCAGTGGCACCAGAGCCAATTGAAAAGCTGAGCCAACTGGTTCCAGTTTTGTCTCCATCTTTCTCCCTGCTTAGTTTCCAAAAATGAAACACCAAGACTAAAGAGAAGAAAACCCCCAGGATTAGTTGTAAGTAAGAAGTCAGAGAGCATGGGGTGGTTGAGGTCAGTGGGGCAGCATCCCATTTGCCTTAATGGACCAGCGTGAATCAGGCTGTTCTGATTCAGGTTTTGTGTTCTTATCTCCCCCTACCCATAGGATTGCTTTGGCAATATGTCTTTTTTTCAGGGGGAGGGGATCATATAAAGAGAATGAAAAGCAAAGAGGAGGTTCAACTCATTTTACTCCCCATTTTGAAACCACTCCACTTTGCTGCTGTAAGAGGTGTGTGTATATGTGGAAGCAGGAAATCTTAGGATGGGAAGCAGATACTTTAAAGGGCTCTCTTGAAATAAATTATTAGCAATTGAAAGAAAGATCATATATACCCTTCCTGTGCACATCTTGGCTATTGAAACATAATCAGAGTCACTATAAAATGCAGTGGTATGATACGAAGCCCATTGTACATTAGCCCTACAGATTGAACACCAGGCGTCACGCTTATTGCAAAAGCAATTTCTTTCTGGAGATTTAAAATCTTGAGTTAAACTGTGGGGGCAGAGGTTACAATGGCTTGTCTCTTTGTGCAGCTTTCAACACAATGGAGCACTGATTGTGGCTTTTTGGAACACTACTATAATACAGATAAGAATAAGAAGAAACTGGGTTTTAGAGGATTGTAATGTTTGCTAGAAAGGAAGGAAGGAGCTTGGTCTATTTTGACATGACGGAGATTGCAAAGACTGTTGCAAAAGCAATCCAAGTTATCAATCATGAATGAAACATCAAAACTTCCAATTACTTCAACAAGGACCCAAATCACCCTGGTGATTTTTGCTTACATTTCATTCTACCAACAGAGATGGTATTTGTAATGCTTGCTAATTTTTGAATAAGGTACTGCAGTTATAGGCACATCAACACAACAACAAAACAGTGGAACTTTGTTCGGAAAGAAAAAAACAAACAAACAAACCAACGGCAGCTTCAGTCCCTATAAAAGGGAGAATATGTAGTAATAAATTCAATGACCATGCATGTTGCTCACATCAATGTCCAGGTGGGATTTTAGTTATGCTTGGCAATGTGCAGTGTGCATCTCCATCCTTAGAATGAGAGGAAGGTGTGCATCACTGCAGAACCAATGCAATGAAAGGATGCACTGAAAGGTTAACTGCATTTGACCAGTGGTGGTCAGTGTCCTTTGGGACTGGTAAAGCATAAGGCAGGAGGCCAACGCTAGGTGGCATCAACAACAGGCTGAACCAACTAATTCTAGTTTCATCCCTGGTCTCCTCACTGCTGAATTCCAAAAATGCAACACTGAGCCTAAGAAGGAGGAAGCTGATAACCAGGTCAGGGTGGCAGGAACTATGTAAAAAGGGAGGCAGGTGGAGGCCTGATGGACCATCCTCTGCTGGATTTGATTTGGCCCACTGCCCAATGCAAAGCTGCAACTCATCTTTGATTAAGCAAAGAAGTATATTCAATCTGTACTATCTCAGATAACTGCTCTGCTGAACCAATGGCAGAGTCAAAATGTATTCGGCTAAATATCATATTTCCAAGACATAAGAAAAGCCCTGCTGGATTAAGCCAAAAGCCCATCCAATCTAGCATCCTGTTTTCACAGTGGTCAATGAGATACCCATGGGAAGTCTGCAAGCAGAATGCAGCTCTTCTAATGGAAAAAGGGGAGGCAATGTTTCCTGATTTATCCCTCTACTTTGCAGTCCCCAGTGCCCTCTGGGAATTGACTCCCATGCCTCCCAGCACAAGGTGGAAGGAGGGGTGCTGCAGAGAGAATGGTGTGCTGGCAGAAATTGCTTCCTCTTCTCTTTCATCAGTGGAGGGGTCTGCTGGATCCACAAGGACCAGGACACCAAGTGAATTCCACCCATAGCTGAGCACAGGACGTGCCTGAGATGAAGGACCAGGTGATGCATCTTCCCCAGGACTAGCAGTTGAGACTTATTTCAACAACGGTAGTGGGATAGTATTTTCCAATGCATTTGAGGCAGCAGACTAGTTTACAAAGTCCAGAGGGCCAGCCATGTAGGAGAACCGGAACCTAAAATATACTGAGTCAGACCATTGGACCATATAGCTCAGTATTGTCTATGCTGACCAGCAATGGTTCTCTGGGCTTTCAGGCAGGAGTCTCTCCCAGCCGTACCTGGAGATGCCAGGAAGTCTGTTCACCTTTTATATGGTGTACAGCATTGCAGCCAGTCAGCTGAGCCTCAACAATTTTCCAGCATAGGGGGGAGTACACTGCTTCCCCACCCCCTACGCCACGGCCAGCCATGTCATCTGTGCTGGGGACAGTCCCAGCCAATCTGCTGCCAGGGTGGGTGTGGCCACGGGCCATTTAATCTCAGCATGGCTGGCCAGCTCCCTCTTCCTTGCCTACCTAGTAGCAATCATCATAACTTTTGTGAGGTTAGGCACTGGGTAAGCCTTTGTTTGGTTGGAAGGGAGGTTGTTGTCTTCTCCTGCCCCTCCTCAATAAGGTTATTCTGTTAAAGGGATCTGGGGTGTGAATACTGTCTGAAGCTTGGGCATGGGCTAGGGCCATGTCACAGCCCCTACGGGGACCCCTCGGGTGGCGCCACTATCTGATGTAAGTTATAGGGCACCCGCTATCGGTGGTTTACCCTTCCGTGGACTCCCTGCAGACAGGCAGGAGTCAGGGCTTCACCCCAATACCTAAGCCAAACCGCTCACACCTGTAACCAATAAAGTTGTGGCCTATTTGAACCCATAAACCAAAATACTCCATGTCAGTGTGATTTACTGTTCTCCTGGGAACTTTGTAGCTCGGGTGACTTGGCATGCAATTGAACCTGGGACCTTTTGCATATAGCACACACAGCTTTATCTTCCACCTGAAGGAAATAGTCACTGTGTTTGGCAGAAACTGAGACTCCTGCTGCTGTTTCCCCCTGCTGGCACCTGCCACCTGAGACAATCGCCTCGCTTTGTAATATGGTGGGGTAGGCCCTGATGAAACACACTGAGGGGTTTGCTCTCCTGCTTTTAAACTGCTAATGATATTCATCACTTTCTTTATTTGAAGTGTGGGGACCTGGTGGAGCTTGTGGGGAAAATCTGTTAGACAGCGGCATCCTGGGGATGATGTATGGAAGCGTACAATGATTTTCTCCTCTCCCAGGCTTGCGATTTTTCATGTCCACATCAAGATGCCCCAGGCAAGCAGACCAATAATCTGAGAACACAAGGGGCTACCAAGCTGCTATATACACCACAAACTTCTGAGGGCTTAGAGGAGGCCTAGAAATTTGTGTAGCTCAATCAAGATGGCTCTCTCCCCATTTTCCCCACCACAGCAACTGTCAGCTACAAGATCATGATGGATTTTCTGGCCTGGGTAGTTGGCAGCATAGCTGGGTTATTAATAACATCTGTCTTTGCAGCTGCAATGCATTAATAGCTCTTCTGTCGCTAAAATGGTCTTGCCACCACTACCTTCCTTCATATCTCATCATAAAAATGATATCAAGCATTATCAGGATGTGTCACTTTCGAGAAAAACAAACATTAATTACGTTAGTCGGTTGAGTTAGGAGAAAAAGACAACATGGCTAGGATGATCTCCCTATTTTCATTAGGGAAAGCCAACGGCACCAACCAAATTTGGAAAATTAAGGACAGATAAAAGGAAGTACTTCTTCATGCAGCACATAGCTAAACCATGGAGCTTGCTCCTGCAGGAAGCAATGAAGGACAACATCTGGGGTGGCTTTAAGAGAGGATTAGGCAAATTCATGGAGGATAAGGCTTTCAATAGCTGCCAGACATGATGGCTCTGCTCTGCCTCCACAGCTGGAGGCAATAGTGTTTCTGAATACCACTTGCTGCAAACTGCAGGAGGGGACACTGCTCCCCTGTGTCCTACTTGAGGCTTTCCCACAGGCATCTGGTTGGCCTCTGTGAGAGGGCAGAGTCTGCAAAGTCAGGCATGTGACTCACAGAACAGAGAACCAGTCAAGCCCTGCCAGATATGTTTTTACTTGTGTAGTGATGATGATTTGTGCTGATGCTGGTATAGGGGTGGTTATACGCAGATCCTGCTTTCAAAACTACGTGCATCTGCAAAAGGTTTTCGGTGGTCATACTGCTTCCTTCCCAAGCAGCGCACGCCTCGTAACTTCCCAGTGAAGTCCTGCAACATTTCATACCACTGATGTTCTGGCATTGCTGTTTTTGTCTGCGACACTACAGGGCACTCTCCCTCTTGGACTACTGCAATGTGCTTTACGTGGGGCTACCTTTGAAGGTGACCCGGAAACTGCAATTAATCCAGAATGCAGCAGCTAGACTGGGAGTGGCTGCCGGGACCACATAACACCGGTCCTGAGAGATCTGCATTGGTTCCCAGTACGTTTCCGAGCACAATTCAAAGTGTTGGTGCTGACCTTTAAAGCCCTAAACGGCCTCGGTCCTGTATACCTGAAGGAGCGTCTCCACTCCCATTGTTCAGCCCAGACACTGAGATCCAGCACCGAGGGCCTTCTGGCGGTTCCCTCATTGCGAGAAGTAAGGTTACAGGGAACCAGACAGAGGGCCTTCTCGGTAGTGGCGCCCACCCTGTGGAACACCCTCCCTTCAGATGTGAAGGAAATAAGCAGCTATCCTATCTTTAAAAGACATCTGAAGGCAGTCCTGTTTAGGGAAGTTTTTAATATTTAATGCTGTACTGTTTTTAACACTTGATTGGGAGCCGCCCAGAGTGGCTGAGGAAACTCAGCCAGATGGGTGGGGTATAAATAAGAAATTATTATTATTATTATTATTATTATTATTATTACAAGACGACAATAATGTGAAAAGCATCATGCAGCAACTAGTAACGTGGGGTGGGCAAAGGATTCCTGCATGGGGGGGGGGTCGCTAGATGACCCACATGGTCCCTTCCAACTCTACAACTCTATGTCCATTATAAATCCACCACTATCATGCTATCATTGCGTCAGTGGTATGTCACAGAAGACACCCACACAAAACCAGACTAGAGGTACCCACTGTGATCTCAAAGTACTGCCAACACCAAGCCTGAATCTTGCATAACTGCAGAGCAGCTCATGGCAGGATGGCTGGGAGACTGAACTGAGCAAAGGAGGGTGCGAAGAAGCCCTCCATGTCTCAGAGCAAAATGTGGCGATGCAGCATGTTTCTGGCCCAATGTCACCGCAGCCTCCTCCTCTACCACCACCACCATTGTGATGATTGCAACAAAACGTTAAAGCTCTCTTTCTCTCTCTCTTTACCTGCCCATCTTTGCAAGCCCAGCCGGGTGGCTGAAAACAGAAGCTTTTGGCTTTCCCTCTCCGTTCGTCAACACAAACAATAAAGCCTCAGTGATTAGAATTTAGCTAGCAATTGCGCT